CTCTCTCTCTCTCTCTGTCTCTGCCCCTCTCTTACAGTGTGACTTGTGTAAGACGATACACGAGCACACACATGGACACACAGAGAGACTCATTGACGCAGACTCGTGTATGTACAAGTATATGCATGTGTGTATATATATATATATGTGTGTATATGTATACATATAAAGACATGTATATGTACATGCAGTCTTCTAGATACACACATGGACAAACGTTTGTTACTCAGGTGTTCTAGATTTTTGCAATTATACATGTATATATATATATATAGAGAGAGAGAGAGATTTGTGTGTATATACATATCTATATATGTCTATCTGTCTGCAGCATGTGTACATTGTTCATTTATACGTATATATTTATGAATACATGTGCATGTCTAAGTTGTGTGCTGCTTCTTGGCGACATGCTTGGGCCTTGTTTAGGACTGGCTTGGAGGTTTGGGGGTGTAACAACGGGGTTTGTTCAGACGGCTTCGGGAATTGTCCGGGTTTGCAAGACTACTTCAGAATTGGGAGGGGGGTCTTTGGCAAGGTTGCAATTGGGACTCGGGCGTAGCTTCGCGAGAGCATTGCTGGGCGGGTGCCGGGTTTATTGTCGACTGTTCTGTTTGTTTTAGACTAGCAGGCAGGGTTTTTACAATTCTTGAACGCTTTTAACAGTTATGGTGCGTTTTAGACAAAAAACGCAGTGCCGTAAAAAAGCGTAAAGTGCCATAAGAATGCGTAAAAGTGCCGTAAAAAATCGTAATTCTAAAACCCGCAATTTCTACACGATTGTGCGCCCTTCCGTGGCCCTGGTTCACAGGCTTTTGCAATTGTTTAATCATGGCGGGAAAGGGCAGACCCCTACGTCTCGAGACCAGATCTATCAGCTGTGGCACCCTCTACGCTGGACAATCCTTTATGGAGAGCCAAGAGGTTAAGGAGGAGCCCAAGCCAGAGCGAGAGGATATTGAAAATGATTTGCGAGTATCTTAACTGCATAACACAGAATCCGTTCCCTTAACTGAACAAAGACCCACAAGATATTCCATCCGAGGCAGCCCAGGCGATGTTGGAGAACCTGAAGATGAGGGCTCGCAAGCTCGAGGCCAGTTCCAAGGAGCCCGGGCCCGTTGCTGGACTAGCTGCAGCGGTAGACCCTGCTCCTGCCCGTACCAGGCCTGTTGCTACCCCTGCCCGAGTTCAGAAACCTTTGTGCATCCGGCGACCAGTGTCCACTGATGCACAGCCAAGATCCTATTCCTTCTGGGAGCAAGCCTACCCCGAGGAATCCCTTGAGCATGCAAGAGCATCGCCGCCGAAACCTTCGAAAGTTGTGGAACCATGTGCAGGTTCGACACCCAATGCTTCAAGAGCTGAAGAACCCAAGCGGCCCAAGCATTCAGTTGCACCGGGGCCCAAGCATCCAGCTACAGAACCCCAGCATTCAAGTGCACCGGGGCCCGAGGAGCCCGAGCATTCAATTACAGAACCCGAGCATTCAAGCGCACCGGGGCCCGAGCATCCAGTTACAGAACCGCAGCATTCAAGTGCACCGGGGTCCGAGCATTCAGTTACAGAACCGCAGCATTCAAGCGCACCGGGGCCCGAGTCTTCAGACGACGAGTTGATTATGGATGTAGATTGTGTGGCTAGGCAGCACGTTTGCTAGGACCCATGTGCAACCCCCTACACCCTATCAACCCTAATCCCCATTACTTACATGTGTAAAGGATAATCCTGCTTTTTGAAATCAGTTAAATCTCGACAACCCTACAAAACCCTATAAATCCCTGTACGACCTTGAATCATGAATGCAGCCGGCCACTCAGGACTTCAATGAGCTTCGAGAACTTCTCCACAGTCGCTTGGTCAAGAAGGAGGTGGAAGAGCCGCTGACGCAGACGGCAGCATACCTTAAATAGTTTGGTGGTTGCAGTTGCCCTTTTGTTTTAAACGGGTTTGTGCGGGGTGAACATGAGGTGCCTGATGAAGCTCTGGAGTCCCAATGTGATCCATATATGGCTTATGAGCTACCTGGAGATGCAGAAGCTTCAGCCAGGGTTGACGCTTCCCCCCAGCCCCGCCGAAGGTTGTTTCACAGCCCTGAAGCAAGCAAAGCGACCGAGCATGCAGGCTACAGGAAGGACGCCCCAAGGACTCCATCAATGTTTGCTCCTGTGCTGTTGAGCCCTTCCGATTCCCCAGTCAAGTCCTCGAGATCGATGAAGAGGAGCCGAGAACGTGCATCCCCCAAAGTATCCCCCAAAGCCGCTGAAGTGGTTGCCAAAGCTGCAGCCCCGAAGCTCACTGAATCTCTAGCCGAAAGTGCAGCCACGAAGCCGCCAACGTCCAGGGCATCCCCAGACAAGCCCCGACAGTCCGATGCAACCCGTGCCAACCCAGGCCCTGAAGAGGTAAACACAGCAGAGCCTAGTGCAACCCCGAGCAAGACAAAGCCCGACAAAGCATCAAGAAAGCCTAAGCTTCGAGGCCGCAGCAAAACCCCGCAGAAGCCTGGAGAGCCCAGTGCAAGCCCCAGCAAGGCACCGACTCGAGAGCCCAGCAAGACCCCGAGCAAGGCGCCAACTCGAGAGCCCAGCAAGACCCCAAGCAAGGCGCCAACTCGAGAGCCCAGCAAGACCCCAAGCAAGTCGACCCCGGAGCCCAGCCCCGAGAAGTCCCCGATAGAATCCTGCTCAAGTCCTTCTACGAGATCCCAGACATCCAAGAAGAGCAAAGACTCCAAGGTTCCATCTGAAAACCCGATAAATGACTTATATTTAATGTAAATCTTATGGATAACTAGCCCCAATATATTTCTACAAAGCCCCAAGCCCTAGAGCCCTTAACCCCTGCAGGCCGCGAGAACGAATACGATCCGGATCACTGCACGCGAGTACCGGAATTATGAAGCCACGCTGCGTCGAATGTGCAATCCGTCGGCGAAGCGGGGCACCTTGGCAGTGAGTTCGGATGTGGCCGAACGATGGAAAAACACGAAGACCCGCAAGCAGCTGGTCGTGGCACTGATCAATTGCAAGGGCGACAAAGCTTCTTTATTGCAGATTTAGCTGAAGACTCTTTTGTGTGGCTTGTGTCTTTTGTTGCTGCCAAACTGCAGTACATGAAAGGAGTCCTTCAATCAGCGCATGGAAGTGGTGATCCGCAATGTCAAGGAAGGACGTGTGGTCATCGACAGTGGCTATTATAGCGAAGCCGCGATGAAGAGCGAACTGAAGTTCGACAAGCAACGTAACCCAATTATTCAAGTTCACTCTTAATGATCCCACAACAGAAATGTGTTGCTCAATGCTTGGCCAAGTTATCTCCAATAGGTAATTATTCTTGCAGTGCAGCTGAGGGATCGCATCAAAGCCATCGTCGCTTACTGCACGAAGAGCAAGGCCAGGAGGCGGCAGCTGACCAGGCCTTCAAACATCCATCAAGATCGAGGGGTTCGGTCGTTCTAGTGTAGAGGGTCTGTTTAATTCTGCATCATGCATCCGCCAATGCAGGAGGGACAAGTACCAACGCCATATCCTGGAATATTGGATCGATTTGCGAACCAGCGGAAGCCTATCCCGCAGCCACATGGAGGAGTTCTCGCAATATGTGGAAATCATCGACGACAATGCTAGCCTCCCGGCTCCCGTTCTAGGCAACGAAGCGTTGCCATGCTACGAGGGGGAGGATGATGATGACTCCCAGGAATCCTGTGATGAGGATGATGATGACGATGACACGAAGGCCAGCGAGACCCCGACGAGCAAGCGCAAAAAACTCAGAAGAGCCCGAACCGCGACTCCCCGAGTCACGAAGAAGAAGCGAGATGATCACGACGATGTGGAAACCGCCCTGGATGTCTACAGCATTATGCTTAGCACATTTTTGATTTGATTTAGAAACTTTATAAACCCTGCCATCCGACTGCACCCCTGAAAGCCACCCATTACTCCTAAGCCCTGCTCCCCTATAAACCCTCAACTAAAGCTTCTGAACCCTGCTGCAGGACATCGAGAAGATTCCCACAATCTTGAGTGAGATCCTGAAGGTTCGAATCAGAGCGGATAAGACACTCGAGGAGCTGAGGAAGAAACATCAAGCTGGGTCTGGGAAGAAGCTATGCGAGCACGCCGAGCAATTGATGAAGATACATGATGATCTGGCAGAGATCCGGGCCGAGAATGGCAACTCGACGCCAAGCGCAGAGCCTCCTATCTGATATATTATACGAGTTCTCCGCCTTTGAATGTATGACTTTAGGTCTCTATAGATAACATATCCCATGCTACCCAGGGCGATGCAAAAGCTGAAGCATGCGCTCGCATCGGTGGAGAAGTTGTGGCCTACTCAGAAACCCACGCAAGCCTCAATCATCCCGCAGCCAGCGTTCCTCGTGATGCCACCCCCTCGGTTTATCAGGTCGAGCCGAATCACTATGGAAGAAAAGAAGGTGAAGAGGACCTCGTTATCCAAAATACAAATATCCCTTAACCAACCCCTATGACCCCTAAAACCTGTTCGATAATCTGTAGGTCTATGTAAAGATGATCATAAAATCTCCTCTCCCAGGACAATTCTTCGAGCCGGGCCCAAGTCCAAAGGCAAAGCAGCCGAGCACGATGATGATGACAGTGAGGGTGAAGACGAGGATGCACCCAAGCGAGCACCGAAAGCTAAAGCTAAAGGTAAGGCTAAGGCGAAGGCCAAAGCTAAGGGAGGGAAGAACGCGAAGTAGGCTTGCCCTGGTGAGCACAAAACAAATATACTTATGTTATATGGTGTATTATAGGGCCTATATATGTATATCTATTATAATGTAGACGGGTCGGTAAACTCAGGGTATCCTTGGATACAATCCAAGATGATGGGGTAAGCGCTTCTCGCCACATGCACAAAAAAGTGCTGTGGCCGCAAAGCTTCGATCATATACCATATGATCCAATCCGTTCCCGTGGGGCATCATCTGAAGTGCGAACCGCAGGTCAAAACAGCTGATGCTCGAAGTCTGAAAGTTGCCTAGACTTCTGGTTTTGATTTGAAACCGAGCTTTCTGCAGCGCAGGTGCTGCCAGCAAGCCTCCTGTGCTTGATGGTCCGGCTTCGAAAGCCTTGGCACGTGCTCGTGGAGCAGGGGTTGGGGCCG